GTAGTTTTTAAATTTAAATAATAAATTATGTTTGGCCCTTTGGCCCTCAGTTGGAGATGATTTTTTGTTACATGGCTGTGTTTGGCCTATGGCCCTCTGGCCCCTTAGTTGGATATTATAAGAAATATGACTCTACACTGTTCATTAAAATATTAACTTGGCTACAAAGCTAAAACGAGTCATCTGGCCCTCCTTCGATTGGAGATGGCCTAAGAGGATTGAATTTGTAATATAAATTAAACAAAACCTCTAAAATGAATGACCAAAAATAAGATTAATGGTTTAGAAGCGTATAGTATCTCATATTTTGAAGTATCGTAAAATTTCCTCAATATTCTTTTTAGGATAATGTTAGTGAGATTAAATTTGAAAATCAAATGATATATCACCAATAGAAATTAAGTACATTAATCAACATTTAATAATCCAATAATTCCCCACCACATCAAACTTTAATACAAGTGGTGGACTGGTGAAGTTTTAAATTTAATCACCAAAGTTTCTTAATCTTAACTTTGCAAGAAAGCAAAGAATTATTTTCCTCTACACACACACCCATTTCACTGAGTAACCCCGAAAAGCTACAGCAGCAGAGTTCACCATGTCTCTCTCCACGAGGCTGAGACGCCCTCAACAGTCCGATGATCCTTCATCATCATCATCGCCGCCGCCGTCGTCATCTTACTCGAAAGTCGACAAGCAAGGGAAATCGGACGGCGGCGCTGCCGACAAAGGGTTTGGGTGGTTCTTTCCGCTGGTGGCTCTGGGAATGCTGAGGTACATGAGCGCCACATCAAACATCATACACGACTGCGACGAGGTCTTCAACTATTGGGAGCCTCTCCATTTCCTTCTCTACAAATCTGGTTTCCAAACTTGGGAATACAGGTACCCTTTTCAATTCTCTTTCTTTTTCCTCTCTGAAAAATTGAAACTTTGTTCTGTTTTTAGGTGTTTTGTTTTTGGGTTTTGATTGTTTGTTATTTTCTGGGTTGTTTTTATTTTGCTTGGTATGAAATTATTTGTCTTTTTGGTTATTTGAAGTTTGTTTGATATTAAAGATGTTAATATAATGCTATTTTTTGTTATAATTTGTAGAGAACTATTAAGCTCTGGATTCAATTTATTGGGGAATTTGGTTGTCCTCGAAAAGCTTACTGCTTACTAACGTACAAGATTTTGTAGAGCATTGCAGCTCATGAACTAATTGCAGTCTTCATATGAACCGATGTGATTTACTTCGTTACGGTAGTTTTATAACTAGTAAGTGAATCTTCAGCGTAATGGCTTTTGGTTTATCGAGTTTGATTTTTACAAACTGACGTTAGAATGGAGCTAATGGTGTGGATATATGTGTTTAGATTAGCATTTTGTAGTTGGAGTTAAATGCTTACCATTGGTAGCATGATATCTTTTTTACTCAGTTATTGTATCCTTTGCTGTGTGCTCTTAAAATATTGTCTGGATCATGGCCATTGTAAATGCGATAATGACTGCTTTCGTTTTCTATTTTAGAAATCCTACGTATGAATTTTATTGTTATACGCCTTTTGCAGTTCACAGTTTGCACTTCGGTCCTATTTGTACATTCTTTTCCATGAATTGGTGGGTCAACCTGCTTCCTGGTTGTTTGCTGAGGAAAAAGTACGATTGGTTTTTTCCCCTTGCCTTTTTTGAACTTTCTGTTTTATTTTAGCAGAAATTTATTTCTTGCCTTTAGTGTTATGGAGTTGTGCTGAACCAGTTCTTTGTGCTTACAGGTGAGAGTATTCTATGCTGTTAGAATCTTTCTTGCTTTCCTTTCTGTTATCACTGACACTGTTCTGGTAGTTGCTCTTTCAAGAAAGTATGGAAAACGTCTTGCTTCTTACACACTTGCAATGCTATGCTTAACCAGCGGTTGTTTTTTCGCTAGCACAAGTGAGTTGGCCTTAGCTCTCTTGCTTTTCCGGAGCTAATTATTCCATAAATGATTGTTGATGACATTACTTTTCCAGGTTTCTTGCCAAGCTCGTTCTCTATGTATGCCATGTCTCTTTCATCCGGCTTATTTCTACTTGATAAATACGCCATGTCAGTTACAGTCGCAGCTGTAGGCGTAATCCTTGGCTGGCCATTCTCAATCTTAGCTTTCTTACCAGTCACATTCTACTCTCTAGCTAGAAGATTCAAACAAGCTTTTCTTGCCGGGGCAGCTATCTCTGTTGCTCTTCTTGTAAGTCATTATTGGTATTTTGTGGGTGGATGTACAAAGTATAGCCTGGACCTGCGTAATTGGCACAAATAGAGTTATATATTTCACTTCTTCTCAAAAAAAAAAAGAGTTATATATTTCACTTTAAGTTATTTCTTTCATATTTTTTTATGATGCTTATGCTTATACATTGGAGGTCTTTTCAGGTCTCGTCGGTTCTCATTGATCATTACTACTACAGCAGATGGACATCCTCTGTGTTAAATCTGTTGATCTATAATGTTGCAGGAGGCGGTGAGAGCCATTTGTATGGAACTGAGGGGCCGCTATATTATCTAAGGAACGGATTTAACAATTTTAACTTTTGTTTTGTACTTGCATTGCTGTTTTTGGCAATGGTGCCGATTGCAAGGAAAAAGTATGCCCCCAACTTGCTGATTGTTGTCTCACCACTTTATATTTGGTTGGCATTCATGTCTTTGCAGCCACACAAAGAAGAAAGGTTCGAATAATGTTACCTTTTATGATATCAGGAAACTTGTTACATACTGTTCTATTATTGATTGAATTTGAGTATGTTCCTGCTAGTCGTATTTGCTTATCTCCGACGAAATCTACCACTTCCTAAATTTGCTCACTTGTGCATTTGCAATAAAAAAAATTGAAATGCTGTTGATAGCTCGGTGCCTTGATATTTCCTTTATACTTTCTCCTCTATCCTACTTAAACAAAATCTGAGGTTCTTCTGATTATTAATATTTCCATATTTCTCACCATAATCATACACAACACTAACCTTGCGTTGTCCTTCAACAAATTTTTTTTTGGGGTTATTTTTTTCCCCATAGTCATCAATGTCCAGTTTGTGTATTTCTGAGTGGCCAAGGGTCCGTTTGTAGTCTCGGATAGGAATGTTTTGATATTTAGTGAGTCACTTTGGTATTTGGTGATGTCACAGAATTCTTAAGATTGTTAGTTAACTGCACTTTAGATGCAATTGATAATTAGATATTTCCATTTATCATTGCAGGTTCCTTTATCCAATATATCCTCTAATTTGTGTTGCTGCTTCGGCTGTCATTGAGAGCTTTCCTGATGTTTTCCGATCCGATTATGATTCCCAAGGAAATTCTCCGACGGTTATGGTGAGCTTATCCTATTTTTCATAAATTTCTGTTAAATTATCTTTCTGAACCTCGTATGGTCACACTATTGTTTATTTGTACACACAGACAGCAAAGATTCTTAGACCGGTGGTTCTTAGCCTTATATTATGTGCCTCCCATGCTCGTACGTTTTCAGTGATCAATGGTTATTCTGCCCCTATAGAGGTTTACAAGCTTTTAGAGGATCATGACGATGTAGGAACAGGTGAGACCAGTATCTTGCTGTTATGTTCTGTTTACTGATACGAACCTTCTACAACTGTGTAGCTTAATAATGATTAAGTAGCCAGCTTTTTCTTTTAGTGTTCATACACTTCCATTTTTTTTCACACGTGTTTTTCTTGTTGAGGTCTCAAATTGCATAAGGAGCTTATTGGGTTCTCTAGTTGATATTCTGGTCTGCAATTTTAGGAATCCATGTCTTTCTGAAAATTCTGGGCTTCCTTCTGAATTTCAGGTTCTGTTCTCTGCGTTGGAAGTGAATGGCACCGTTTCCCATCGTCGTTTTTTGTTCCTGATTATGTGGGAGAGGTTCGTTGGATTGATGATGGGTTCCGAGGACTTCTTCCCTTCCCCTTCAATTCTACCTTGGGTGGAACTGCAGCAGCGCCACCATATCTTAACAACAAGAACAAAGCGTCCGACTTGCAATATGTAATCAATTACCATTCTCTAAACTAGTTTACATAAAACTGAAAATTGCGTTCATTGTAAATGACCAATCAATTTTGTTACAGCTCCGGGATCTTGATCAATGTACATTCCTTGTCGAGCTGCAGCTTAGTCGGCCTTTCCCTTCTCGGGGAAGTGACTTATCAACTTGGGAGGTAAAATTGAGTCCGCATTTACACACAGTTTCCTAAATGAATTGCTATGTGCTGAATTAGTTTTCTTCTAAATTCAGGTGATTGGAGCGTTGCCTTACTTAGACAGAGAGCTCTCGCCTGCCAAGTACCGGTCCTTTTTCATCCCGTATCTGTGGCAGCACAAGAATATTTTTGGCATGTACAAGCTGCTTAGAAGGGTCCCGAAATGAAAGGAGATGGTTTAGTGGATCACACCTTGGTTCTGAGTGACAGTGTTAGATTCTGAACCAGCATGACTTCTCTAAAGTGCTAACCCGCCTTCTCTTCGGAGGGAAAAAGAAGGAAAAGTAAAAGGAAGAACCCCTTTTTTGACGTTGTTTTAACTGTTTTGGTCGGTGTGACTTCCTCAAAGTTCTTACAGAAAAATGAGTAGTTGAGTTCAATGGTGTCTTGGATTGCGTGTATTTCTAACCGTTTGATGTCCCTAAGCACCAAACTGAGAATTTGTAATTGATGGAAGAGTACACTACTCTCTTTTTTTAGCCCCATTTGGTAATTCTTTTTTTTTAATTTTATTAATTTTATTTTTTTTTATAAAAGAAACTGCTTCATTTTAAAGTTGAGCAACTATAAATTTTGGTAAAAATAAAATATCGTGTTTATTTATAAAGTAATGACTTTCAGTAGCCTTTAAAAGTAGTTTGTAAGTCGTTTTTAAAGCCTTTTTTTTTTATTTTTATAAAAAGTAGTTGAGCATTTAATGAATGTTTTTAATTCATGTTATACGTCTCATTAATTTTAAAAAATGACATCATCTATCCTTGTACATACCTTTTACTCCAAAAGAACCAAGTGATCACCTATAACTACAATCACTAACCTTACATCACCGTCGCCATTCCCACCACCATTGTCGCCACAACCATTGTTATCACCACCACCACCATCACCGTCACTACTACCACTACCAAAACCACAACTATCACCACTAGCACCGTAATCACAACTACCATTACAACAACCATCATTGTCTTTATTGCTACCACTGCCACCACAACCACCAATGTTGCTGCCACCGCCTTTACCACCATTGTAACCTTTGCAACCCAACCACCACAAGCCACCATTGGCACCACCACCATACCCCTTACAATTGTTGTTGTTATCATTACCACTATCGCCAGTCCCACCGCCATCGCCATCACCACCTATTGTCTTAGCCACCACCTATGACTGCAACCACCAACATAACACCCATGCTGCCATTACCACCACCATCATTGCCACCGCTAACAAGTATAATCGCCATTGTTGTTGCCACCACTGCTACCTCTACACCCCAACCACCACCACACCCTCACCATTGTTGCTATTATTACCGCCACTACCCTCGACACCGTTGTCGTTACCACCTCCGCATTACTATTCCTAATTTTTGTCATTCCATACAATTATATAACCATTACATTAAATTTATCAAATGTTTTGCTTTCCAACTCACATCACACTTTTAAAAATACAGTTTATCTAACGCTCAATTGCTCTATTTTACAACTAATTATTTCTAATTCCATACAATTATATAACCATTACATTAAATTTATCAAATGTTTTGCTTTCCAACTCACATCACACTTTTAAAAATACAGTTTATCTAACGCTCAATTGCTCTATTTTACAACTAATTACTTTAGTCTAAAGAAAGCATTGGAATTGGCACTGTTCTTTACTGTTCATTGTACCTGATTTAAGTTTATTTACAAGATTGCCACCGCCTCTTCAGTTTCAGATTGAAAATTTCGATTTATTTACGAAATTACCACCCTTCAGCGTGCACTTGTCGAGCATCGTAGAAAGCAAACCCGACTTTTGTTCTAGAGATCTCTTCGACGACAAACCCATGTTGCTCCAGAGCTCTTCAACGACAAAGTCGATTCGGCGCCTCACCGTCACACACCTCGCCTTCCCCTCGTCGTCGCACACCTCGCCTTACCTCGCCGCCGCACACCTCGCCTTACCTCGCCGCCGCACTCCTTACCAGAACTCGAATCAATGGTAACGTGCCAATTGTATATATTTTTTGTCGATTTTTATCATTATTCTGGAAATTAGGGTTTGATCTAAATTTGGTGTGGCTGTGCTTCAGCCAAAAACTCACGGATTAGGCTGAGATTGAGATATATGGGAGGATTTGTCGACGGATTTCGGGGAGAGAGGCGTGGGATGGCAGGGAGGGGAAGGGAGAGGGAGGAGTGAGGCTGCCAAAAAGGGGTTAGGGTTGATTTTCTCTCTCTCAAATCAATTGTTGGTGTCGGTGATTGAACGATCATTGGTTAGAGGGGAACTTTCATTAACTTTGTTTCGGAACCGGAATGGGGTCGATGGGACCATGCTCTGTTGCACGTTCAGATGAGTGATTTCAGGGATTTGGGGTAGGGAGAGTGATTTCAGGGATTGGTAATCCCATCCCGTGTTTTCCCCTCATCTCTGTCACACTCAACCTCTCTCTAATCCTTTCTCTTTCACTCTCTTTCAGACTCTTCCTTTCTCCCAACTCTCCATCTCTCAACTTTAGTGCTAACCCTAATTTGTTCTTTCATTCCTCAATTTTCTCCATTCGAGCAATGAAAAATCGAACTGGGTTTTCAGATTATTGATGCTTCACGGACAGAGAATGGTATCTTCCTTTGAGGATTTTGTATTTGGAGAATGTTGTTTCCTTTTTTTGGTGTGTTTTTGGCTGTGTTGCATAAGTTAGTCTCTTTTGTTCTAAGTTGTAAATGATTATGCTTGATTTGTATGCATTCTATGTTGGTACTGAGGTTTACAATTTTTTTATTTTTTGGTTTTTATTTTTTCTCCCCAGTTGTTATTTTCCTTTTATTGTATATTGTATCTTCTGTTTGGGAATGCCTCTGTTTTTTTACTTGCTGAGAATGCCTCTGTCAGGGGTGGCTCAACAGGACCGCGAAATCTGGAGAAGGGCGAGGGGGTTAGCAGAGGGGGGATTGGGTATGTAGCATCAGGGCTAGGTTACCAAGATGGTGTTTGGGTGGGTTTGGCAGTGGGTCATATGGGGGAGGGTGGTGATGCACTCTGAACTCACGAAGGTGCACAAACATTACGAGTGCATCACCATAAAAAAAATTCATATTTATTTGTTATACCCTTCACAGCAAATAATTTACATGTGAAATCTAGGTAAAAACATGATATCTTTATAGACATTGAAATAAAGACAGCCACAGTCATACACTCCATAAGTATTCCTCATCACAGAGTTTTTTGAAACTTAGAAGACACCGGTAATGATTCACATAGCAGATTAAGCTTATAGATGATATAATAGTCAGATAACAAAGTTCTCAACTGAGGGTTCAGAGAGACTTATTTCTATGTCCAATTATGAAGCATCTTTTGATTTTTATTGATATAAAGACCTTTTCTTTCTCCAATTATGCCTCTGTCAACACTTTTTGGTTTAAATGCACTCATTTAGTACTCACATTTATCTGATAGACCAGATGAAAAAAGAGGGAAACATGGATTATATATGCACGAAGGGCACCACAACAAATGTGTGAATCTTCCTGCACCACCGGTCTCCGCAACGTTTTCCAAAACCCGCTTGACCGAAGGTAAGCGAATTTGGTGTTCTGGATTATATTGGAATTGAAATAGGTTTGGTTTCATTAACTTTTTGGGTTATTAAGTTTGTATGCTCTGATTGTTTTGGAATTTGAGTTTGGATTGAAATTTAATTTTGATATACAAAAGCACTCACCTTAAACACAGAGGAATCAGATGCTTGAGTTAAACAATTAGCTGATCACAAATTGGTATTTTTTTGGTATTCTTTCTTCTGATTTTTTGGGTTTTCATCTGGGTTATTTTCTGAACATGTTGCATTTATTTTACGCTTGGTTTCGTATACCCTCCATCAGTCAAATAAATAACTTCATAGAACCAGAAGCCACTGAAATGGCCAGTGGCATATATGTTTATTTCTATGTTTTCAAATCTAGGTTTTAGATATTTTTCTTTGTTTTGGCTAAATATGAAATTTTGGTTCCCAATTTCTTAAAACTTTAGAATTTTTTTTGCTATTTAGTTTGACAATATGGGTCCAAGATTGGATTCTTCCAATTTCTGGGCAGTGAAGACAGGGTGGTGACAAGAATTCCAACTTCTTTGTGGTGGAAATCATAGTTTCATTTTAGATTTTCTTTTGGGTTTATGAAATGAGTTGGAGTGATGTCTCATGATTATGTGAATGTTTTCAAATTGGTGAGAGAGCTTTTGGGAAAAAGGGTCAGAAAGGATTTGGAGGTGGAATTTGCAGAGCTAAGACGACTAAATTTATTAATATTCACATAATCATGAGACACGATTAGATTATTCGGTTCACAACTAAATTAAAAATCAAATTAGAAAACAAATTCAGGACAAGAAAAATTGTGATGATCCCCAAGAACATAGGAAGTAAAAAATTTTGATGATTAGATTTTGAAATTTCTTTTTTCCCAAATCCATATTGACATGGGTTTTTGGTTGTTTTAAGGAAGTGGAAGAAGACAATGGTATCTGCTTAACTCAAAGATTTTCTTTCAATGGTTAATCAGTAATAACAAGCGTATACGATATAAATTTCAGATTGAGTAAAGTTTGATGCTTTATGTGTTTAAATAGGCGTGTGAATTTTTTTCAAGTCATATCTTAAGCGATTAGTTTTTGTACACGGTATGAGTTAGTAAACATAATGACAGGAAGAAGACTATGGATGTTGCTCTTCTATTTAACACACTATATTTTGTATTTATATTTTGCATGTGATCATGTCCTGGAAAGATATCCGTTTAACACATCCTTTAACAGGACAAGGATGTTGCTCTTCTATTTTCATTCAGTCAACAGGGGGTTTCTGATTTTATATTTTGTTGTTTATATGCTGGAATTACAGGACAAGGAGTTGGACCCTGGATCTAACGACTTTCTGGGTTAGTAACTTTTATAATATGCTGAGTTTTTATTCTAATGATTGTTTATTTTTTATCGTACTCTCTCTCTCAATCTAATTTAACCCATATGTGCACACACAATCACAATAAGTTTGGGTTCTGGTTTAGATATTTATATTTTTGGATATTGGAAATTGTATTTTCTTTAGATTAATCCAGAACGTGTACCATGTGGGTTTTTTTTTAAATTTATTTACTAATTTTAACTTTGGCTTTTAAGTTTGAGTTCTGGTTTTTAATATTTATATTTCTGTACAATTTGATGCTATGAAAGGGTTTGATAATTTCTGATGATTTCAATGACAACTGTTTCTTTTCCAAAAGATGATTGGGAAGCAGTTGCTAAGTGACGATTCTCCGTATCCTTTTAGAAGCCTTCTTCACCTGCTATGTTTTGGTTTGTTATGAAATGAATTCCCTTTTACGTAAAAAAAAAAAAAAAAAAAAGGTACAATGTTATCAAATTTGATTTTTATAATCATTCGAATGCTGGGAATGTTGGGGTTTCTTACGGTTAAATCTTTGCATGTATTTTTTTTCTTTCTAATTTTCTGATTTTCAGTTTTATCTTTTTTTCTTTCTCAATTATACCAAGATATTGCTTAATGCATAGACACATAAATGATTCAAAAAATGGGTGTACCAAGAGAAAAAAAAATGTTGGATTCTCTGCAAAGCGCCGAACCAAAGAGAGGAATATATTGTGTAAATATTATTGGTTATTCAAATACGAACTTCTTTTTTTGATCGCTAGAATTTCAGTATAAATAAGATATTAGTTAGATGTTATAGATGATCAAACTAAAACAAGTCAATTTGCCATACAGAAGCTCTACAAATCAATCTTCCTTTATTTTCTAACCCAGCGTCCTTTCATTTCATCTTCGTTCTGGAGCCCTCCCTGTTTTCCACATCTCCTCTCACACTACCTAAAGCCGAAACCAAACCCAGCTATGCAGGAATCAAATCACAAGTCTCCGACACCCACAAAGGTAAAACGCTGAAAAAAAAATCCCCCTCTGTCCTGTCATTCTCATTTTCAGAAGTTATGCAGACGGTTCCATGTCTAATGTCTTTGTGGGTTTTCAGTGGTGCATATCTCGATTGACAAGGATGAACAGAAGCGGATATAACAACAGTGAGACCAATATGAGATCCAACAGAAAAAAAAAAAAATAGCGGCGGAGAAGCCGAGGGCTACGGATTCAAAAGGAAAAGGTATGAGCCCTGGCTCTGTACTAATATTGACTTGGATTAGATGAATTTTTGAGTTCTTTGCATCCGTGAATGAAGTTTGTGATCTCTGTGTGATCTCATTCACTGATCCCTGGATCTTGAATTTGTCTAATATGCTCATGGATGTGCTCTGTTTGTTGTCATGTACAAATTGGTGAATGTTGAACAAAATGCTTGCATGTTGGATCTGTGATTTGGGCTTGAACAAAAGTACCTCTGTGCTGCCTGGATCCTCCACTCCCAAACTTAGAATGAAAGGTTAGTAATAGCCTTTTCTTCACTTACTTTTCAAAATTATTTTGTAAGTAATTTTTGTATCTGTGAGTCGTTTGATTCATTGTTGTAATTTTATATATTTCATGATTGCAAGACTCTTGATATCATTAATTGTTGGTTTTGGTACTTAACATTTTAGGTTTAAGAAATATTAATGCCTGAAGTCCTGTTATCAGTTTTTTCCATTAAAAATTTTCAATTCGTTCAGATCTTTTCAAATATGTATAATTTCTTTGTGCAATGTCTCTTTTAGTTTCTTGGTCAAGCATTTTAAATCATTACGAACTATTTAGTAAAAGTAGTTTTATAGAAATGCTTGAGCTTCTTGGAATAACTTTTGTTTGCAAACGTTTTCCAACTTATTTGTTATCAATATTGTTCCTATTTTTGAAAACCTTTTTTCAAGTCTGCTTGAATCAGGACTTATCGAATCAAGGCAGCTGCAAGGAAATTTGAGCTTTGGCATGTATAGATACGATTTTGCAACGAAGCTAGGTACCTTCTAGACTTATTGGATGTGAAGATTTGTATGATCGAATTTGTGATTAATATACTTGAATTTTATTAAATTTTTCATGATTTGATAGAGTTTTTCGTTTAAATTTGTGGGTTTTAGTTTAAATTGTGGGTTTTGGAGATTGAATATGTAAAGGCTGCTTGAGAAACTAACAATATACAAAATTTGAATGATGCTATTTGTTTCTATCTTTTTTTCTGAATTTGTCTGCTATTGGCTATTCTGATTTTCTCTGGCTAATGGACTCTCTGAAAATGTGTTTTGGCTTTTTTAATTCAAAAACTAAAACTCATTTCGTTTGTCGACGATGATTTGTTATGAGGTATTGCTATAAAATGGAGAAATTAACACTGATTCTATTACTATATGTACATCAGTTTGTAATATCTAATCTTAAAATATATATATATTTTTTGGTAGTCAGAAAGAAGGCACTCAAATTACTTCTGCTCCAACCCATTTCAACAATTTATCAAGCTTTAGTTGAAGCTCCTGGGAAGCATATCCATTATATTGCCAACCTTGAAAAGCCTTGGTAAATAATGTCAGTTGTTGCTTCTCCAACTCTTTTCCCTAATTTAAGTTTTTTAAGCTTCATTTCCTTTTTCCTATATGTAGTTTTGATTGTGTTGGGAGTTAGCAGCTTTGGTTTCGACATTGTTTTGTTTGTGATAGATCTCAAAATTTTTGCAAATGTTTTGCAAGTTGAGGTGCTAAAGAATTTGCATTAACTTATTTTTTCATTTGCCCGTGTTCTAATCCAAAAGGTTTAAAGTTGGTTGAATATTACAAACTGGTATAGGTTTGGTTATAATAAAAGAAGTAATATAAATTATTACTATGACACAGTAACATTGAGAGAGGTCTTTTATTAATCTCTCTATCTATAACAGTACCAAATATATCATAGATGAGACAAATATTTATAACCATGTTTATTAGGGTGTTGGTATCCGCCAGGAGGGGTAGTTTACCTTGGGGGTTGCAACGAATGTGGAGATTCGTTAGACCAATGATCAATTGATAGAAATTATCATTAAGCCAAGCAAAAATGAATATTAAATCTTAACATTGGGAGAATACTAGGAGTCTTTTTTTATTTTTTTATTTGCCAATTCTAGGAGTCTCAAAACCAAGTAGTGTTATATTTTTAATAAATTTTTATTGATCGACTGGAAGTAAAAATCATATTTTTTTTTTTGGCAAATACACACACGAACTTACACTCCTAAATACTCATAGCACAAACAAATGATGGACTCAGATAAACACCCACAAATACATATACTACACACATATACTAGAATGGTTTCTTCTCAGAATGCTTATCAAGACCTTTAGTAATAACCCTTCTGAAATGGTGGATGTGTTGTCGATATTATTCATCAATTGAGTATGCATGAGAACTTCAAGTAATCGTTGCCATAAAAAGTAGAAGTGATAACTCACACCAGGAATCAGTTATCTCATCAGCAGCTTTATTTTTATCTAAGATCGAATTTGATACCTGTAGGTGTATATAGGTTAAATCGATTGTTAAGAAGGCAATTTAATCACTTTTCAACGTCCGATATCTCCATCCCCCTGTTCTAAATTTTTACTTACTTGAAATGAATAGATTCTAGGCGTTTCATTTAGCAAAATGATTTGTGGATAGTGCTAACTCATTTTTCTTACATTCATAGTAATATGGGCACTTTTCTTGGCAATATAGTGCGTAGCGTAAAATTAGAATGTGATTCAGTTGTATTGAATTTGTTCGATTAACCACTGGTCCATTTATAGTTCATTTAATCTTTTGTATTAGTAAGCTACTGTGTTGTGTCCTTTACATTTCTTGGTATACTATTGATATGGAAAACATCATCTATCTATTCTATTTATCGCATGATATAAGAATCAAAGTAGACTTGGCATCACTTCCGTGGTCTTTTTTGTGTTAGCAGATGCCATCAAATAGGCAAAATCATATCGGCTACAAAGTGCAATGAATGTTATAGGTTACTAAGTTTCGCCATATGCCTTCATTGTGGCATTGCCCTATCTGTCGACAAGTACGCATTATAAGTTCACTTTGTAGAATGATATTAAGTTGACTTATGGAATAATATAAGTTTGTGTCATACATGAAAACTATGAATCCATTTCATCTTAAACTACTATGTTTTTGTTCAATTGACTGCAACTTATGCCGCAGTTTGCTTCACAAACCTCAACGGTTAGCTTCCATACAATATGATGCAAGTTTGAGGATATCTCTACATCTTAATTTCTGCTCTCTGGTTGCTTCAAGTTTGTAATTTTAAGTGCTACACTGCCACTTGATTTGATTATAAAAATGTAAAACAAAATCCATCAATGATTTACAAATTTGTATTCGATTTTTGATGTTTTTCCAGTGTAAGGCATATGTTGCACAAGCATGTAAAATGGTACAAATTATTTGGTTTTGGACAGGAAGCTTTGAGTATTACAAGAAAAATCAAGAAAATGTGTCACTCCTCTATTCCTCTGTTCTTTCAGGATTATGTTTAATTTATTCAGGTTAAGTGTGTCTTATTATGTAGTTAAGGCTGGTGCATTCCTGGTCCCAAAGCGCGGGCATATTTTCTAGTTATTTCTAAAGCACTGTTTTTTTTTTTTTTATAAAATAAAATTAAAAAAAAGCATATTAATCCCAGACAGTCCCTCCTATCAGTCTTGACGGCTTCTCTTGCACGCCAAAGAGGAAATATCTTTCACCCGCCGAGTACGATACGTTAGGCGGGAGTGCTCTGCAAGTTTCAACTTGGAAACTTCAAAATGATTATTGTAGGTGAATGTAAGAAATTTCTTCATGATCCTTTCTCAAGAGTCAAGTTCAAAAGTCGACGAAAAGACCACCTCTAATGGAAAGTCTTTGTAATAACTTTCTCCCTCGACCTCTATATATTCATGTTACACTTTCATTAGTTTTCACCACCTTCACAAGTTTTCAGAATACCCAAATCGTACCTCAAAGTCGTATTTCATATCCTTCTCCATATTTCTCAATATACACAAACACTTTGTCCTTACAAGATGTCTGAGACAAAGGCTCTTTTGCCTGCAATAGCCACTTTTGCAGCTTCAGCAATGCTTCTTAAAAGCATTGCCAACGACTTCATCCCCAACGAATTTCGAAACTTCTTCTTCTCCGGCCTCCACAGCATTTCCCGCTGTTTCTCTTCCCACATCACCATTGTCATAGAGGAGTTCCAAGGGATGTCCTTGAATGAAGTTTTTGACGCTGTTGAAGCCTATTTGGGGACGATAGAGACCGCTTCTCTTCAAAGAATCAAAGTGAGCAAGGTTACACAGGAGAAGAAGCTAGCAGTCGCAGTGGATCGAGGGGAAGAGATAGTTGATGTTTTTGAAGACCGTGTTCAAGTAATGTGGAAATATGTTTGTACAAAGGTTGAATCTTCGCGTGCTTGTAATCCCGGCGATCTTAATGCATCCCTAAGATCAGAAACAAGATCCTACGAGCTAACATTCCACAAGAAACACAAAGAGACGGTGTTGAATTCTTACCTGCCATACATATTAGAGAGATCAAAGGCGATCAAAGGAGAACGAAGGGTAGTAAAACTCTGCACGAACTCCCAGTATGACTGTTACGGGACACAAGAGGTCACTCTAAATCACCCCATGACCTTCGATATCCTTGCAATGGATACGGAGCTTAAGAAAGCTTTGTTGGATGATTTGAACAACTTCAAAAACGGCAAGGAATTTTACAGGAGGATAGGAAAAGCTTGGAAACGTGGATACTTGTTGTATGGCCCTCCTGGCACAGGCAAGTCCAGCTTGATTGCAGCCATTGCTAACCACCTTAACTATGACATCTACGAGTTGGAGCTAACCGATGCTGGTTCCAATTCTGATGTAAAGAGAAGGTTGCTAGCCATGCCTGACAAATCTATTCTTGTAATCGAAGACATTGATTGCACAATCAAGCTGCAAAATCGGGAATCTGAGGATGAATCGTGGAATACCAACAGAAATCAGGTCAGTTTTATAGTCACTTATAGTTTTGATAAATCATACAAGTCAAATGCTTTGTTTCGTTACAAGTTGTAGATCAGGTTGATTTTTTCCCGAAAGGGTTGTCCGGACTCAATAGGATGACAACAAAAAACTGTGTCGTTAACATATAAGTCCGGCAAGAAAACATTCCCGCTTGTAGAAATATCCGTGATCTTATTACTTACTATTTCATCAACAGGTGACACTCTCCGGACTCCTCAACCTCATTGATGGTCTTTGGTCATGTTGTACTGATGAACGCATTATAATTTTCACAACAAATCATAAAGACAAACTAGATCCTGCTCTAGTGAGACCTGGCCGAATGGACATGCACATTCACATGTCGTATTGCACCATTTCTGCATTCAAGCAGCTGGCATTCAATTACCATGGAGTTCGCAATGACCAACTCTTCGAGCAGATCGAAGGACTTATATTGGAGGTTGAAGTCACCCCTGCAGAAGTTGCAGGAGAACTAATGAGGAGCAGAGATGCTCAAATTTCGCTCCAACGCCTCATCGATTTCTTGCTGGAGAAGAAAACTCAACAAGATCACAAGGCTAAAACTAATGAGACCGGTATGAAAGAAGAGCACAACATGGAAGCGGAGCAGACTAGTTGAATTTAATGTAACCGTTGTTTGAAGGGCAAGAGACCCTTAGTTTAGTTTTAAAAAAATTCCATGTACCCATCGAAGTCTTACAATTTCACTAATAAATACTATATATATTCATTCTATGATATGGCCCAATCAACATATGACACATGTTTCTAATATTTTTAAAGTTCAAGAAAAATTAAACATATGTATTATTTTTTTAAACAATAAAACCATGTTAATATCATTAGATTAAATTGAAAAGTGAGTATACGGAGTACTCACTAATGAATACCTAAGTATTATTTATGTTATACACAGCAGAAGATCATTGGTCATTTATTTGACACGTGTCAATTACTTATACACTTTTGTTAAATTCTATTGTTATGAAAAAAATTATCCAAAAAACTTATTATGAAAAAGATATCCCCAAAATAAATGAGTATCAGACAAACATGGAAATTTGGCAAAGTTTTGTGGGTTCGGAATGTTATGCGAGCGGCTAGAATTTGCGTTAGCGTGAAAGACACGTGTTAAATGAATAAATAGGAGACATGAAAGGTACATACACCATTTTAGGGACACCAGAACGGTGGCCAACATTCTATATATCCCATTCCCGGTAGGAAAAAGAAACCCTTCCCAGTTCGAAAAGGAAAATATGAAATTACCAGTTACGAAAACTTATAAATACAAACTTGTTATCAATTCAGTACCTCCATATTTTCCACTGTTAATTTCTTCTCTCTCTGTTTCTCTCTGTCTCGATCTCTCCACTAATTTTCTAAGATGCTGATTGCTAAGAAGCCCGGTAGGGTTGAAGACCCCCGCTTCGTCTTCCCGGAGAAGCAAACTATCTGCGTGGCGGACGGTGTCGGTTGGGCCAAGACAGACGTCGACGCCGGTGACTATGCAGGGGAACAGATGATGCTGACGGAAGCTACTTTGAGTTTATTCATGTTGAAGTACGTAAACCACAATGGTATCATCAACCACAACAATAGCTATGGTCAAGAAACAAAGAGAAACCTGCACGAGATGGTTTGTGGGTCGGTGTATCTTGCCAAAGATAACAAGTTAGGCGAAGACGCTCACTTCATCTGCCCGGAGAAGCTGACTATCGGCGTGGCAGATGGCGTTGGCGGTTGGGCTAACAAAGGCATCGACGCTGGTGAGTACGCGAGGGAACTCATGAACAATGCCTTTATCGCAGTCCATAATCCGAATAACATCAACGAACAGAAAAGAAAAAGAAAGGCCGCGGATATGATCGGAGCCGTTGATCCAAGAAAAGTGTTGCAGGAGGCTTATGCAAAGACCAAGGAGAAAGGCTCGTCGACCGCTTGCATCCTCAGCCTTAACAAAGAGAGCGGAGTCTTGCATGCTGTGAACGTTGGGGACAGTGGGTTCTTGCTATTTAGGAACAACAAGGTTGTGTACCAATCTCCAACTCAGCAACGCAGGTTCAACTGTCCCTATCAGTTGGGGAACAGCATCAGCAGCGACCGCCCTGACTGCGCTTGGGAGGAGTGGATTCAGACAGTCCCCGGAGACATGCTAGTGCTTGGGACTGATGGCTTGCTGGACAACATGTTTCCAAGTGAGATTGAGAAGGTTCTTGTACAAGGTGGTGGTGGTGGTGATCTTGATCTTGATTGTGGCACGTTGGCTTCGAGCATCGCCAATCTGGCTCTCTATAACTCGTTCGATAAGTACAACCCTAGCCCTTTTTCCGAAAATGCTAGAAAGGCTGGATTCGAGCACAAAGGAGGCAAGATCGACGATATTACTGTTATTGTTGCTCAAGTTGTGGCTTTGTAGTAGACTAGCTAGCATTAGCTAATAGTATTCATATGTAATTAAACCTAGTTCCACGTATGAAAGAAAATTTGGTTCTTCTATTAATCAAGATATATGATTTTCTTTGTTTTCTTTATACAAGCCAAGATGTGTTATGTTCTTGTGTGTTTGGAATTGGTGGTTTTACTTCTATTTTATTGAAATTAATTTTTTTTTATTCGAAGTATTTAGCATTAGTAATAATAACCATTTTAGTATGGGAATAATTTGGTCAATTTTATAGTTATATACAAGTCAAGTGCTTTGTTTTGGTACAAACTACAAAGCAAAGCATTTGTTTTACACTAATTTACGGGAAGAGAAAATTTAAATCCAAAATGCAGTAGATTGTAGAAGAAAATCCTAACCACCAGAACAATTCATCACACTTCATGAAAACTTAGAGAACGTAGTTTAGGAATGCTTCTTTTCTTCTGTCCAGGAAACAAACTAAGAGAGAAAATTAGGAAACCACTTTTCATTAAACCTAACTAAATGCCTGAACCGAAGGCTTTTTTGCCTGCAATAGCCACTTTTGCTGCTTCAGCATGCTTCTTCAAAGTATTCCCAACAACTTCATCCCCGACGAACTTGGGAACTATTTCTTTTCAGGCCTCCATAACATTTTGCAATGTTTCTCTTCTCAACTCACCGTTGTCATAGATGAATTTCAAGGACTATTTGGGTGCTCAACGACCCTGTCTGTTAGAAGAATCAAAGTGAGCAAGAATACCAAGAGAAGAAACTAGCAGTGACAGTGGATAGAGGTTAAGAGATAGCTGATGTATATGAAAATCTTCAAGTGAAATGGAAGTTGATTTGTGTACAGGTTAAATCGCCATTAGTTAGACATTGGAGTTACCTTAATGCATCGTTACCACAAGAAGCAATATCCTATGAGCTAACTTTTCATAAGAAACATAAAGGGAAGGTGTTGAAGTTGTACCTGCCCAACATTTCAGAGAGATGAAGGGGCATTAAGAAAGAACAAAAGGCAGTGAAGTTCCACAGAGTTGAAAAACCGGAGATGGAACCCGGATGCTATCAAAGCTTGACCACCCAATTACCTTCGAGCTTCCTAGCAATGGATGCAGGGCTTAACAAAGCTTTGTTGGATGATTTAAATAACTTTATAAATGGAAAGGAGTTTTAGAGAAGGGTCGGCAAAGCTTGGAAGCGCGGATACTTGTAATGTGTCCCTCCCGGCACAGGCAAGTCAAGCTTGATTGCAGCCATGGGTAATCACCTTAACTATGAGATCTACGAGTTGGAGCCAACAAATATTAATTCCAATTCTGACTTGTGTAAGTTGTTTTCCATACCTAACTAATCTATAATCATCTTCAATTTCCTTCTCGAAAAAAAAAAGAATTCAACATAAAGGAGGAGGAAAGTTAATGTAATGTTTGAAGGGCAACATGTAGAAACTCATAACTCTGTAGAAGAAAAGTCAGAAGGTAGAGAGGGAGAGAGAATTGTAGAGAGATAAGCTGTTGAATAGAATGATCTCATTACTTACAATAGAATGTGTACATCATATATAAATAGATACAATTAGTTATGTCACCAACTAATTTAACAAACTCTAACCATCATAGCTTAACAGCTAAGTAATGCTGTAATCAGGTAGGTCATTAGTTGGTGGTCCTATTGTATCCTTAACACACCCCCTCAAGCTAAAGTTAGGAGATCTAACTGAAAGCTTAGAAGTCAACTTTGTAAACCGATTAGATGGCAAAGATTTAGTGAAAATGTCTGCAAGTTGAAGAAGAGAAGCAACATGATGCACACTGACTTTGCCACAAAGAACCTTTTCTCCAATATAATGATAGTCGATTTCAACATGTTTAGTCTTGACATGGAAAACAAGATTGAAGGCCAATGCAATTGCACTTTTATTATCACAGAAGATTGCAGGAGTTTTGAGAATGAGAAAGGAAATATCCTGTAAGATTTTACAAATCCGACTAAGTTATACAACTGTATTGGCTAGAGACCTGTACTCGGCCTCAATTGAAGATCTTGCAACTGTGCATTGTTTCTTTGCACTCCAGGATATGAGGTTTGGACCAAGAAAGACATAGTAGCCACTAGTTGATCTTCTGTCAACTGGACAACTTGCCCAATCTGCATCAGACCATGCAGTGAGGCATTGAGGACCTTTAGTAAACCATAGGCCTGAATCAATAGTGCCCTTCAAATATTGGAGGATCTTTTTGATTGCTTGCAAGTGAATGGTCCGAGGAGAATGCATGTACTGACATACTTGACTCACAGCAAATGCCAAATCAGGTCATGTCCAGGTGAGATACTGTGAAGTCTTAACAGTTAATCTATAAAATGTAGGATCTGAGAGAAGAGTACCCGAGTGATCCAATTTTGCAGAACCAACATGAGTGGAGCAAGACTTCACACCAAGCATATTAGTTTTCTTTAACAAATCAACAACATATTTTGACTGGTTTAGAAACAACCTTTTAGCAAACTTGTGAACTTCAATACCCAAAAAGTAGTGAATGTCACCCAAGTCCTTCACAGGGAAATAGTTTGTAACTGAGCAATAATAGATTGACATAATGAGCTAGAGCTGCCAGTGATGATGATATCATCAACATATACTAAGATGAAGATGATGGTAGAATCCTTTTTGATAAACAAACTGGGGTCAGAGTAGGAAGAGGAAAATCCCAATGACAGAATGACCTTGTAAAATGCTTCAGACCAGGCTCTAGGTGCCTGTTTTAAACTATAGAGTGACCGGTTGAGCTTGTATACATGATGGGGTTTGGTTTGATCAATAAAGCTAAGGGCTGGTTCATGTAAACATCCTCATTTAAAGTACCATGCAAGAAATCATTACTTACATCAAGCTGATGCACAAACCAATCATAGGAAACAACAATGGATAACAGAATTCAAATAGTTGTAAACTTAGCAACAGTATTGAAAGTCTCAAAGAAATCAAGCCCATCTTGTTGATGAAACCATTTTGCCACTAGACAAGCCTTATATCGTTCTATTAAGCCATTTGGTTTATGTTTGACCTTAAACACCCATTTGCAACCTACCATATTTAAACCAGGATAAGAAGGAACCAAATCCCAAGTTCCAGTGGATTGCAAAGCTTGAAACACCTTCTTCATAGCTACCAGTCAGTGTGGATTCTTTGAAGCTTGCAGAAAAGTTGTAGGTTTTGGAGGAAGACAAGCAAGTGAATTAACAGGAGGTGGAAGAGAATGTTTGGTCAGTGAATACCTTTGGCTTGTGAATACCAGCTTTAGCTCTTGTAATCATTGGGTGA